AAATCAGCAGGGGATCAAATACATTTTTTTTTCCCTCACTGTATATAAAGAGAAGAAGTCACCACCTATATACTGTAAATGGTAAACGATAACCCAACATTGGGGCTATGATGGCTGTGTTGTTTAATGATGGCTGTGTTGAGTTAGGATGGCTTTGTATGTTTGATGTGAGCTTGTTGTTTATGATGTGCTGTGGTTGTTTTATGATGGCTGTGGTTGGTTAGGATGGCTGATGTGGGGTGTTTAATTATTGCTATTGTGTTTATGATGGGCGTGTTAGGTTTTATGTGCTGTGTTGGTTATGATGGCTGTGTTGGTTATGATGGCTGTGTTGTATGTAATGATGGCTGTTGTTGTTATATGAGCTAATTTACATTTACATTTTAGCAGACGCTCTTATCCGAGCGACTTACAGTTAAGTGAGTGCATACATTTTCATACTGGCCCCCCGTGGAAACGACCCACAACCCTGGCGTTGCAACGCCATGCGCTACCAACTGAGTGGCTACCTCCCTCCCTGCCGGCCAGTGGTCCCTCCCTACGCCTGGAGTCACAGTTATTTATAATGACAGCTGTAGACTATGATATAAAAGGGGCGTGAGGGATAGTTTTTTTACTGTCATTATAGCAGAACGCTCTTGATCCAAGCGACTTACAGGAGCAATTAGGTTAAGTGCCTTTTTTCAAGGGCACACGACAGATTTTTTCACCTGTCGAGCTCGGGGATTAAGAAACCAGCCAAACCTTTCGGTTTACTGGCACAAACTCTCTTAAAACCACTAAGCTACCCTCCGCCTATGGAAAGTGTTATGATGGTGTGTGCGGTGTGTTGTTTATGAGGTTTATGATGGCTATGTTGGTTTTAGATGGCTCTTGGTTATGATGGTTAGGTTGGTTATGATGGCGATGTTGGTTATATGGCTATGTGTTATGATGTCTATGTTGGTTTATGATGGCTATGTGGTTATGATTGTTATGATGGTTATGTTGGTCTGATGGTAATGATGGCTATTTGGTTATGTTGGCTATGTGTTAGGATGGTTCTGTTGGTTATGATGGCTATGTTGGGTTATGATGGTATGTTGTTATTCATGGCGATGTTGGTTTATGATGGTTGTTGGTTATGATAGCTAATGTGTTATGAAATAGGTTATGATGGTTATGTTGTTATGATGGTTTTTATGATGGCTATGTTGGTTATGAAATGGCTATGTTTTGGTTATGATGGTTATGTTGGTTATAGGGCTATGAGTTGGTTATGATGGCCTATTGATGGCTATGTTGGTTATGATTGTCTATGTTGTTATTATGCTATGTTGGTTATGATGCTATTTTGGTTAGATGGCTATTTTTGTTTATGATGTGTTATGATGCTATGTGGTTATGAATGGCTTGTGGTTATGATGGCTATGTGGTTATGATGGCTATGTTGGTTATGATGGCTATGTTGGTTATGATGGTTATGTTGGTTATGATGGCTATGTTGGTTATGATGGCTATGTTGGTTATGATGGCTATGTTGGTTATGATGGCTATGTTGTTTGGTTATGATGGCTATGTTGGTTATGATGGCTATGTTGGTTATGGATGGCTAGTTTGGGTTATGAATGGTTATGTTGGTTATGATGGCTATGTCGGGTTATGATGGCTATGTTTGGTCTGAACTGGCTATGTTGGTTATGATGGCTCTGTTTTTTTTAATGGTTATGATTGCTAATGTTGTTATATGCTTATGTTTGCTATGTTGGTTTATGATGGGCTATGGGGTTTTTTGGTTATGATGGCTATTTGGTTTATGATGGCTATGTTGGGTTATGATGGCTATGTTGTTTATGATGGTTGTGATGGCTATGTTGGTTATGATGGCTATGTTGGTTATGATGGCTATGTTGGTTACGATGGCTATGTTGGTTACGATGGCTATGTTGGTTATGATGGCTATGTTAGTTATGATGGCTATGTTGGTTATGTTACCCATTAAATTGTTATGAGCATACATAGACTGTGTGACATTCTTTTTTTTATTCCCAACATGTTGCCAAGGCAACAGGACAGGGAGAAGTGGAGGGAGGGAGGTCATTGTGTCCTGATGTTTCAGAAGGAGGACGTAAGGATGTTCATGACTAAAAGGGTTTATGTTTGGATTATGTGTGAACGCATGCATGTGACAGTCTGTTGGGATATTGTAATGTGGTAATGGGGGGAAAGAGAAGGAAAGAGAGAGACAGAGAGAAAGAGAGAGAGAGACAGACAAAGACATGCCTGCCTACCTGGCTCTTGTTTGATGATACCTGTGAGGATCTGAGAGTTGAGGGTGCTGTTAGGACAGTCCGACTGCCTTCCTCTTCTCGCGATGTTGGACTTGGGTACCCACTGTACACAACAAACACACACACACAACACACACACACCAACACTCACACACACACACACACACACACACACACACACACACACAAACAAACAAACAAACGTAGGGAATTTAATCATTTTCATCCCGAGATCAAGATTGATCGATCAACTGTAACATAAGACGGAGGGCATCTGAATTGGCCCCCCTCTCTTCTCTGCCGAACCATTCATCTCTTTCTCTCCTGCTCACTCATTCCCTCTCCTCCCTCCATGGCCCCTCCATACCTCCCTCCATGACCCCCCTCCATGGCCCCCCTCCATGACCCCCCTCCATGACCCCCTCCATGGCCCCCCTCCATGACCCCCCTCCATGGCCCCCTCCATGGCCCCCTCCATGGCCCCCTCCTGACCCCCTCCAATGACCCCCCTCCATTACCCCCCCTCCCATGCCCCCCTCCTGACCCCCCTCCATGGCCCCTCCATGGCCCACTCCATGACCCCCCTCCAATGACTCCCCCTCCATGACCCCCTCCATGGCCCCCCTCCAACCCCCCGCCAGGCCCCTCCATGGCCCCCTCCATGCATGACCCCCCCTCCATGCCCCCCTCCATGACTGCCCCTCCATGACCCCCCTCCATGCCCCCCCTCCTGGCCCCCCTCCATACCCCCCTCCATACCCCCTTCCATGACCCCCCTCCATGACCCCCCCCCTCCATGGCCCCCCTCCATACCCCCCTCCATGGCCCCCTCATGGCCCCCTCCCTCCATGACCCCTCCTCCATGACCCCCTCCTGACCCCCCTCCATGACCCCCCTCCATGCCCCCCTCCATGACCCCCTCCATGGCCCCCCTCCAGCCCCCCTCCATGGCCCCCCCCTCCCTCGCGCTTCTGTGGGTACTGCAGTGAGCTATGGCGCATCCCTCTCCTCCCTCCCTCCATCCCTCCATCCCTCCCTCTCCCTCCCTACACCCCTCCCAACCTCCCTCCATCCCCTAATCATCGCTCCCCCTCCCTCCCTCCCTCCATCCCTCCCTCTCCCTCCTACACATCCCTTCCCCCCTCCCTACCTACATCCCTCCCTCCTCCCTCCCTCCATCCCTCCCCCTCCCTCCCTACACCCCCCCCCTCCTCCCTACATCCCTCCTCCTCCCCCCTCCCTCCCTCCCACCCTCCCTCTCCCTCCCTACTCAATCCCTCCCCCTCCCTACAATACTCTCTCCCTCCTCCCTCCCTACAATCCTCCCACCTCCCCCTCCCTCCCTCCATCTCCTCCTCTCCCCTCCCTCCCTACATCCCTCCCCCTCCCTACATCCTCCTCCTCCCCCTCCCTCCTCCTCCTCCCTCCCTACTTCCTCCTCCCTCCCCACCTCCCACCCTCCATCCCTCCCCTCCTCCCTACATCCCCTCCTCCGCAGCCCTCCATCCCTCCATCCTCCCTCGTCCCTCCCTACATCCCTCCCCCTCCCCGACATGATCCTCCTCCTCCCGCCCCCCCTCGCCTCCCGTCCATCCCTCCTCCCCTCCCTACATCCCTCCTCCTCCCTACATCGCCTCCCTCTCCCTCCTCCCTCCCTACCTCCCTCCCTCCTCCTCCCTCCCTCCATCCCTCCATCCCGCTCCCTCTCCCTCCCTACTCCCTCCCCCTCCTACATCCCTCCTCCTGCCCCTCCCTCCATACCTCCCTCCCCCTCCATCCCTCCCTCCCCCTCCCTTACATCCTCCTCACCTCCCTACATCCCTCCCCTCCATCCCTCCCTCCCCCTCCCTACTACTCCCCCTCCCTACATCCTCCTCCCTCCCCCCTCCCCCTCCCTCTCATCCCTCCCTCTCCTCCCTCTCCCTCCCTACAGCCCTCCCCCTCCTTCTCCCCGCCCCCTCCCTACATCCCTCCTCCTCCCTCCTCCCTCCCCACATCTCCCTCCCCCCCCCCTCCATCCCTCCCCCTTCCCTCCCTCCCTCCCTCCACCCCCTCCTCCCTCCCTCCCCCCCCCCCCTCCATCCCCTCCCCCTCCCTCCCCCATCCCCTCCCCCTTCCCCTCCCTCCCTCCATCCCTCCCTACCTCTCCCTCCCTACCTATCCCTCCTCCCCCACACCCCCCCCTCCCTCCCTACATCCTCCCCCCCTCCTGCCCATCCCTACAGCCCTCCCCTCCCTCCCCACATCCCCCCCCCTCCCTCCTCCTCCCCTCCCTCCCTACAACCGATCATCCCCTCTCCCTCCCTTCCATCCATCCCTCCCTCTCCCCCCGCACATCCCTCCTCCTCCTCCCTCCTCCCTCCCTAACATATCCGCCCCCTCCCTCCCCTACATCCCTCCCCCCTCCCTCCTCCTCCCTCCTCCCGCCCTACATCCCTCCCCCGTCCCTCCCTTCCCTACAGCCCTCTCCCGCCTCCCTACACAACACAACCCCCCCACCTACACATCTCAGGACCTACGCTCTACCACGAAGCTAAGGCGCAACACGTAGCAAGTATCTCAGTATCGCAGTATCTCCAAGGAGCGCAGTAGCGACATTAGGACACTACCGCCGGGGATCTCAGGATAGACACGAGCGGCCTCCCCCGCCTCTGGACACACTGGGCAGATGCTTACAAGGGAGGGAGGGTTTGGTTGATTGATTGATTGGTTAATTGATTGATTGATCACTCACTCTTGCCCCTGTTGTGGGTGTTGCAATAGTTGATGCATCATCTGGCTCTGATGCAGGTCCTGGCCACTCCCATTGGAGGCGGGACCAATGGGGTACTGCGAGATCATTGGCTCAGGCTTCATGTACATGTCCCGGTGCATGTTGGGATAACCGTGGCCGTGCGGGGGGAGCGGCGGCGGGGTCATGTGACACATGTTCTCTGGTGTCATGGTCCTCAGCATGTGAATGTCTGGAAGACAGGGAGGAATACATTTTTATGCATCATCAAGTTCTGAGTGTTCTGGTCATCACATCATCTGATGGTATATACAATAGGAGAACAATTCCCTGATTATCACTTAGTCTGATAACTTGACCCAAATACACTGAAGACAGACCGAGGGTCAAACCAGGGTTCATTGTCCAGTGTATTTGGGGGTTTTGAATGCTACTATTGATAATCTGTGGCCAGGTTCCCATACAATCTTTTACCAGGAAAACCCTCAGATGACACAGTGTTGTAATAGATGTGAATGTAAGATACAGTGCCTTCAGAAAGTATTCATACCCCTTGACTTATTCCACATGTTGTTATAGCCTGAATTCAAAATGGATAAAATTGTTTTTTTCCTAATCCGTCTACACACAGTACCCCATAACGACAAAATTAAAATATGTTTTTAGACATTTTTGCAAACTTATAGAAAATTAAATACAGAAACATCTGATTTACATAAGTATTCGCACCCCTGAGTCAATACATGTTAGAATCACCTTTGGCAGCGATTACAGCTGTGAGTCTTTCTGGGTAAGTCTCTAAGAGCTTTCCACACCTGGATTGTACAATATTTGCACAATATTCTTAAATTATTCAAGCTCTGTCAAGTTGGTTGTTGATCATTGATAGACAGCCATTTTCAAGTTTTGCTATAGATTTAAGTCAAAACTGTAACTAGGCCACTCAGGAACATTCAATGTCGTCTTGGTGAGCAACTCCAGTGTATATTTTGCCTTGTGTTTTAGGTTATTGTCCTGCTGAAAGGTGAATTAATCTCCCAGTGTCTGGTGGAAAGCAGACTGAACAAGGTTTTCCTCTAGGATTTTGCCTGTGCTTAGCTCTATTCCATTAATTTTTTATCCTAAACAACTCCCCAGTCCTTGCCGATGACAAGCATACCCATAACATGATGCAGCCACCACCATGCTTGAAAATATGAAAGAGTGGTACTCAGTGATGTGTTGTGTTGGATTTGCCCTAAACATAACGCTTTGTTTTCAGGACATAATGTTAATTTCTTTGCCACATTTTTTGCAGTTTTACTTTAGTGCCTTATTGCAAACAGGATGCATGTTTTGGAATATTTTCTTTCTGTACAGGCTTCTTTCTTTTCACTCTGTCAATTAGGTTAGTATTGTAATAGTCATTCAAAAATCATGTTAAACACTATTATTGCACACAGAGTGAGTCCATGCAACTTATGTGACTTTTTACTCCTGAACTTATTTAGGGTTGCCAAAACAAGGGGGTTAAATACTTATTGACTCAAGACATCTCAGCTTTTCATTTTCTATTAATTTTTAAACATTTCTAAAAACATAATTCCACTTTGACATTATGGGGTATTGTGTGTAGGTCAGTGACACAAAATCTAAATGTAATCCATTTTAAATTCAGGCTGTAACACAACAAAATGTGGAAAAAGTAAAAAGGGTGTGAATACATTCTGAAGGCAGTGTGTAAATCCAATACATAAATACAGTGCTATCGTATTTAATTCTGTGATCTAGTGTGTAATCAGGCCAGGTTCCCTCCACCCTAGGCTAATGGTACTTTCCATTGTTCCTTCCTGGAGCTCGGCCAATCAGATAAGACCTTCCACACCTTCTCACTGATGGGAAAGACCAACACGGGTGTGGGTGGGGGGCAGGACGTAAGAACATTGACGCATGTAGACTTTGTGTTGCCTACTACAACTTTCTGTGAGAAATTTATAGAAATATACTACACGTAATCCAGCTGTTATGCGAACATTTCGGAGTTTCCATCAGGTATTTAACATAGCAGCCCACATGAAAAAAATACTACAGTTTACTATAGAATACTATACTCCACACTGTAGTATCCCTCGATCGTGTAGTATTTACTATAGAATTTAGCAGTATACTATAGAATAGTATACTCCACACTGTAGTATCCCTCGATCATGTGTAGTACTTACTATAGAATTTAATGGTATACTGTAGAATACTACAGTATTAACCGCAAACAAACTCTGTAGTAAATACTACAGTAATGTCAGCAAAAACACTAGTTTTGTCCTACAGTTTTGAAATACCCCACCCTTTCTCAACCCCACCAAATGTGGAACATATTCCAGTCTGTGCTAGCAAAACAATCTGACCACTTCCGTATTGAGCGAATCACTGGTAATTCCTGCTTTAGTTTTTGCTTGTAAGCAGGAATCAGGAGGATAGAATTATGGTCAGATTTGCCAAATGGAGGGCGAGGGAGAGCTTTGTACGCGTCTCTGTGTGGAGTAAAGGTGGTCTAGAGTTTCTTTCCCTCTGGTTGCACATGTGACATGCTGGTAGAAATTAGGTAGAACGGATTTAAGTTTGCCTGCATTAAAGTCCCCGGCCACTAGGAGCGCCGGCTCTGGATGAGCATTTTCTTCTTTGCTTATGTCCTTATACAGCTCGTTGAGTGCGGTCTTAGTGCCAGCATCGGTTTGTGGTGGTAAATAGACGGCTACGAATAATATAGATGAAAACTCTCTCTTGGTAGATAGTGGGTCTACAGCTTATCATGAGGTACTCTACCTCAGGGGAGCAATACCTCGAGACTTCTTTAATATTAGACATCCCTCACCAGCTGTTATTGACAAATAGACACACACCCCCGCCCCTCGTCTTACCGGACGTAGCTGCTCTGTCCTGCCGATGCACGGAAAACCCTACGGTGCTTCATCGTAGTCCTTTACCACTGAGCTGACAACTGAATATTATCCATGTCGTCGTTCAGCCACGACTCGTGGAAACACAAGATATTACAGTTTTTAATGTCCCGTTGGTAGGATAGTCTCCAACGGAGCTCATCCAGTTTATTCTCCAGTGATTGCACGTTGACCAATGGAACGTGGTAGAGGCGGGTTACCCACTTGCCGACAAATTCTCACAAGGCACCCAGATCTGTGGCCCCTGTATCTCCGTCTTTTCTTCATGTGAATGACAGGGGATTTGGGCCTGGTCCGGGAGAAACAGTATATCCTTCGCATCGGACTCATTAAAGAAAAAATCTTCGTCCAGTTCGAGGTGAGTAATCGCTGGTCTGATATCCAGAAGCTCTTTTCGGTCATAAGAGACGGTGGCAGCAACATTATGCACAAAATAAGTTACAAACAACGCGAAAAAACACACAAAATAGCGGCAGCCATCCCCTCCGGCGCCATTAGAAGAGCTGAGCTGACACATCGTAGTCCTCTCTCTCTCTCTCTCAACCCCAACACCATATCCTTTACTCCATCAACCCCAACACCATATCCTTTACTCCAGTGGTCACCAAACTACGGCCCGCGGGCCGGATACGGCCCGTCAGCACATTTGGCCCGGCCCTCTGAACAATACCAGAGACGCTATCGGATTTCTTTCCTATTTGGCCTCCAGAAAAAAAATCCTAGGCCCGGCCCTGTCAAAGAGAGAACGGAATAATGGCGAAAAGGTTAGGTAAGAGAAAAATTGATTCAGAATGCAGGGTATTTAACCTGCAGTGGACAAACGATTATTTTTTTGTTCAATGCAAAGAAAAGGCTGTTTGTCTCATCTGTCAAGAGACGGTGGCGGTATTCAAAGAATACAATCTTCGCCGACACTATGAATCCCGTCACAAAGACAAGTACGATAGCTTGCAAGGCCAAATACGAGCAGACAAACTCTCAAAGCTAAAAAGTGGACTACTATCTCAGCAGAATACATTTGTACGCCAAGCTCAGCTGAACCAGGCATCCGTTCGGGCCAGCTTTCGGGTTGCTAAACTGATAGCAAGCAGCGGTAAGCCTTTCACTGACGGAGAGTTTGTTAAGAAATGTATGGATGCTGTCGCGGAGGAGGTGTGTCCCGAGAAGAAAGATGCATTTAATGCCGTAAGTCTGTCGGCGAGTACAATCACCAGACGCGTTGAAGAAATCGGGAGTAATGTATATGCCCAGCTGCAGCAGAAGACGAAAGAATTTGACCTTTTTTCATTAGCACTGGATGAGAGCACGGACGTGCAAGACACAGCGCAACTGCTCATTTTTATTCGTGGAGTTAGCGCAAACTTTGAGATATGCGAGGAGCTGGCAGCCCTCCAAAGTCTCAAAGGGACTACAACGGGAGAGGATATTTTTGACAAAGTGTGCCAAACCATGGAGAAGTTGGACCTGGACTGGTCAAAGCTAGCTAGCATCACGACTGACGGGGCTCCTAGCATGGTGGGCGAAACTCGCGGTCTAATAGGACGCATGAACCGGGAGTTGGAAAAAAGGGGTCTCACCGCCCCGCTACGAGTCCACTGCCTAATTCACCAGCAAGCACTGTGCTGCAAAGTGTTGACGTGGGATTCTGTAATGAAGGTTGTGGTGTCGTGCATAAACTTCATCAGAGCAAAGGGACTTAAACACAGGCAGTTCCAAGAATTCCTGTCTGAACTGGAGTCTACGCACGGAGATGTGCTGTACTACACAGAGGTCCGATGGCTGAGCCGGGGCAGAGTTTTGAGGCGTTTTTTACGAGCTGCTACCCGAAATTAACGCATTTCTTCATTTAAAAGACAAAACGGTCCCAGAGCTGATCGACCCAGAATGGAAATGGCACCTCGCATTTTTAACAGACGTGACAGAAATACTTAACAGCCTTAACTTGCAGCTACAAGGCGAGGGGAAACTCATTTGCGACATGTATTCACACATAAAAGCATTTGAGGTGAAATTAGCGCTGCTTTTGGAACAAGTGAAAAAGCGCAACTTCGTCCATCTTCCTGCTACCCAAAACCTGTCGACAGAGAACCCAGCGGTCCCGTTCCCAGCTGAAAAGTGCGTGGAAGCACTGGAAATGCTGAAGGCGGAGTTCGGTGTGCGATTCAGTGAACTACATGTTCATGCAAAAGAAATCCGTCTTTTTCAGAACCCCTTTGTTGCCGACATTGATGAAGCCCAGCCTTCATATCAGTTTGAGTTGGCTGAGTTACAGAACTGTGATGTTCTGAAAGACGCATTCAAGCCCAACAGTCTCATTGACTTCTATGCCGCCCTCCCAAACGACACATATCCAAACATCAAAAAACACGCAATGAAAATGTCCACAGTTTTTGGCAGCACGTATATCTGCGAGAAAACCTTTTCTCGCATGAAACTGCTGAAAACTCCGATGAGATCAAGATTGACAGATGAACATTTGCATCAGTGCTTGAGACTGGCTGTAACTAGAATGGAACCTGATATTCAACTTCTCACCAGCCAGATGCAGGCCCACAGTTCACACTGATGAACATACATAGGTAAGCTCACTTTTCTGACTTGAATGAGTCATTCTGAGCATAAACAAATATAATCATAATAAAATCTACTGGGATAAAATCCATCTTTACAACCATACTGGTAGTGAAATGTATTGTGCTGTGTAGGTGCTGTATCACTTAGTTCAGTTTCTCAACCTGCTTCCTTTGTGGTTTTCACAGGGAAGTTGATGAGAGAGAGCTGCAAACAGCGGTGTCTACAAGCCTACTGGAACCTACAAAAGGATTATAAGGAAGGAACACAAGAACTTTAAGAGACTGCTCATATGTGTCAGAGAGATTCTGCTCTGACAACTGAGCTGAACTTTTATCTGTTAAGATTGTGCATGGCACAACAGAAAGTTAATGTTCCATGGCTTTTTTTTCTATGAAGAACCCAGAGAGAGTTATTTAGTTATTATTTATTTCATAAATAGTGTTATTTATTTCCTGTTTTTTCTGTGAAGAACTCAGAGAGGGTTATTTAGTTATTATTTATTTCATTAATAGTGTTATTATTTGTTTCCTGACTTTTTTTCTGTAAAGAACCTGGAAAGGGTTATTTGGTTATGTGTGGCTTTCTGGAAAACAATAAATTTTTTAAGCTCCCCTACGATCGTCACACTTTTTCTGTTACAAACTGACACCGGCCCCCCATCAGAGAAGGGAAAAGTTATGTGGCCCTCACAGGAAACTCACAGGAAAAAGTTTGGGGACCCCTGCTTTACTCCATCAACCCCAACACCATATCATTTACTCCATCAACCTCAACACCATATCATTTACTCCATCAACCCCAACCCAACACCATATCCTTTACTCCATCAACCCCAACACCATATCATTTACTCCATCAACCCCAACACCATATCCTTTACTCCATCAACCCCTACACCATATCCTTTACTCCATCAACCCCAACACCATATCCTTTACTCCATCAACCCCAACCCCAACACCATATCATTTACTCCATCAATCCCAACCCCATATCATTTACTCCATCAACCCCAACACCATATCGTTTACTCCATCAACCCCAACACCATATCATTTACTCCATCAACCCCAACACCATATCATTTACTCCATCAACCCCAACACCGTATCATTTACTCCATCAACCCCAACACCATATCCTTTACTCCATCAACCCCAACACCATATCCTTTACTCCATCAACCCCAACACCATATAATTTACTCCATCAACCCCAACACCATATCATTTACTCCATCAACCCCAACACCATATCATTTACTCCATCAACCCCAACACAATATCATTTACTCCATCAACCCCAACACCATATCCTTTACTCCATCAACCCCAACACCATATCCTTTACTCCATCAACCCCAACCCCAACACCATATCCTTTACTCCATCAACCCCAACCCCATATCCTTTACTCCATCAACCCCAACACCATATCCTTTACTCCATCAACCCCAACACCATATCCTTTACTACATCAACCCCAACCCCATATCCTTTACTCCATCAACCTCAACACCATATCCTTTACTCCATCAACCCCAACCCCAACACCATATCATTTCCTCCATCAACCCCAACACCATATCCTTTACTCCATCAACCCCAACCCCATATCCTTTACTCCATCACCCCAACACCATATACTTACTCCATCACCCCAACCCCAACACCATATCCTTCCTCCATCAACCCCAACACCATATCCTTTACTCCATCAACCCCAACACCATATCCTTTACTCCATCAACCCCAACACCATATCATTTACTCCATCAACCCCCACACCATATCCTTTACTCCATCAACCCCAACACCATATCCTTTACTCCATCAACCCCAACCCCCCAAACCCCCTATCCTTACTCCATCACACCCCACACATATCCTTACTCCATCCCCCACACCATATCCTTTTACTCCATCAACCCAACCCCAACACCAATATCCTGTCACTCCATCAAACCCCAACACCATATCCTTACTTCCATCAACCCCAACACCATATCCTTTTACTCCATCAACCCAACCCCCACCCCATATCTTTACTCCATCAACCCCCACCCCATATCATTTTACCCTACTCCCTCAACCCCCAACCCCAACCCGCTATCCTTTACTCCATCAACCCCAACCCCAGATCATTTACTCCTCACCACCAACTCCTATCCTTTACTCATCAACCCCACCACAACCCTATATCCTTTACTCCATCAACCCCAACCCCAACACCATATCCTTTCCTCCATCAACCCCAACACCATATCATTTACTCCATCAACCCCAACACCATATCATTTACTCCATCAACCCAACCCAACCCAATACCTTTACTCCATCACAACCCCCCAAACCCCATAATCCTTTACTCCATCAATCCCAACCCCAACACCATATCATTTTACTCCATCAACCCCAACACCATATCCTTTACTTCTCCATCAACCCCAACCCCATATCCTTTACTCCATCAACCCCAACCCCAACCCCATATCCTTTGTTCTTCTATACCTTAAATTCCCTCTCCTTCACAACCACAGCATAATAGAGAGAGGTGGAAGAGAGCCTAGGGTAAAGAGGGGTCAGACTTACCATTGACCTGCTGAGGGGAGTATGGCTCAGAGCTGGAGTCTGGTGGGGACTCAGGGAGCGTCCTGGAACATTGTGGAGAGATATGGATAAGGTTGGTATAAAGATGTCTGTTGTCTGTAATGTGGACTCTAGTTTCTGATATCTGCCTTCCTCCCCTCTCCACTCTCCCAATGGTTTATTTGTCCAAGGATAGTTTAATCAAGCACTGATTACATAACGGTGACTTAGATGAGGGTGTCTGTGGTGTGAATCTAGTTTAATAGATGAAGAAAGATTATCACGTCATTGTAGACATGAGTCTGACTCTTGCTCACAGCAACGTTGGTTAAATGGGAGATACTAAGATTATCTTTTCAAGTTGTATCTCACTTTGATATTACATATATATATATATATATATATATACAAATATTATATTACTGCTCTAAAAGTAGCAGGCAAAGCTGGGTTGTTGCAGTGGCACAATATTCACTACACAGTGCATTCGGAAAGTATTCAGACCTCTTGACTTTTTCCACATTTTGTTATGTTTCAGCCTTATTCTAAAATTGATTAAATTGTTTTTTTTCCCTCATCAATCTACAAACAATACCCAATAATGACACATTTACATAGGTATTCAGACCATCTACTCAGTACTTTGTTGAAGCACTTTTGGCAGCGATTACAGCCTCGAGTCTGACATTTCTCCCATTCTTCTCTGCAAATCCTCTCAAGCTCTGTCAGTTTGGATGGGGAGCGTCGCTGCACAGCTATTTTCAGGTCTCTCCAGAGATGTTCGATCGGGTTCAAGTCCACGCTATGGCTGGGCCACTCAAGGACATTCAGAGACTTGTCCCGAAGCCACTCCTTCGTTGTCTTGGCTGTGTGCTTAGGGTCGTTGTTCTGTTAGAAGGTGAACCTTCGCCCCAGTCTGAAGTCCTGAGTGCTCTGGAGCAGGTTTTCATCAAGGATCTCTCTGTACTTTGCTCCGTTCATCTTTCCCTCACAGTCCCTGCCGCTGAAAAACATCCCCACAGCTTGATGCTGCCACCACCATGCTTCACCGTAGGGATGTTGCCAGAGGAACTCTGGAGCTCTGTCAGAGTGACCATCGGGTTCTTGGTCACCTCCCTGACCAAGGCCCTTCTCCCCCGATTGCTCAGTTTGGCCGGGTGGCCAGCTCTAGGAAGAGTCTTGTTGGTTCCAAACTTCTTCCATTTAAGAATGAGGGAGGCCACTGTGTTCTTGGGGACCTTCAATGCTGCAGAATTTTTTTTGTACCCTTCCCCAGATCTGTGCCTCGACACAATCCTGCCTCTGAGCTCTACAGTCAATTCCTTCGACCTCATGGCTTGGTTTTTGCTCTGACATGCAATGTCAACTGTGGGACCTTATATAGACAGGTGTGTGCCTTTCCAAATCATGTCCAATCAATTGAATTTACCACAGGTGGACTCCAATCAAGTTGTAGAAACATCTCAAGGATGATCAATGGAAACAGGATGCAACTGAGCTCCATTTCGAGTCTCATAGCAAAGGGTCTGAATACTTAAGTAAATAAGGTATTTCTGTTTTTGCAAATATTTCTAAAAACCTGTTTTCGCTTTGTCATTATGGGTATTGTGCGTAGAAATTGTTTTATTTAATCCAGTTTAGAATAAGGCTGTAACGAAACAAAATGTGGAAAAAGGGAAGGGGTCTGAATAATTTCCGAATACACTAGATATACAAAAGTATGTGGACACCCCTTCAAATTAGTGGATTCGGCTATTTCAGCCACACCCGTTGCTGACAGGTGTATAAAATCGAGCACACAGCCATGCAATCTCCACAGACAAACATTGACAATAGAATTGCCTTACTGAAGAGCTCAGTGACTTTCCAAAAAGTACGTTCGTCAAATTTCTGCCCTGCTAGATCTGCCCCGGTCAACTGTAAGTGCTGTTATTGTGAAGTGGAAACGTCTAGGAGCAACAATGGCTCAGCCGCGAAGTGGTAGGCCACACAAGCTCACAGAACGGGACCGCCGAGTGCTGAAGCACGTAGCGCGTAAAACATATATTTCCTCGGTTGCAACACTCACTACCGAGTTCCAAACTGCCTCTGGAAGCAACGTCAGCAGAATAACTGTTAGTCGGGAGCTTCATTAAATGGGTTTCCATAGCCGAGCAGCCGCACACAAGCCTAAGATCACCATGCGCAATGCCAAGCGTTGGCTGGAGTGGTTTAAAGCTCGCCACCATTGGACTCTGGAGCAGTGGAAACGCGTTCTCTGGAGTGATGAATCACGCTTCACCATCTGGCAGTCCGACGGACAAATCTGGGTTTGGCGGATGCCAGGAGAACGCTACCTGCCCCAATGCATAGTGCCAACTGTAAAGTTTGGTGGAGGAGGAATAATGGTCTGGGGCTGGTTTTTATGGTTTGGGCTAGGCCCCTAAGTTCCAGTGAAGGGAAATCTTAATGCTACAGCATACAAATACATTCTAGACGATTCTGTGCTTCCAGCTTTGTGGCAACAGTTTGGGGAAGGCCCTTTCCTGTTTCCCCGTGCACAAAGCAAGGTCCATACAGAAATGGTTTGTCACGATTGGTGTGAAAGAACTTGAATGGCCTGCACAGAGCCCTGACCTCAACCACATCGAAAACCTTTGGGATGAATTGGAACGCCGACTGCGAGCCAGGCCTAATCGCCCAACATCAGTGCCCGACCTCACTAATGCTCTTGTGGCTGAATGGAAGCAAGTCCCCGCAGCAATGTTCCAACATCTAGTGGAAAGCCTTCCCAGAAGAGTGGAGGCTGTTATAGCAGCAAAGGGGGGACCAACTCCATATTAATGCCCATGATTTTGGAATGAGATGTTCGAAGAGCAGGTGTCCACATACTTTTGGTCATGTAGTGTTTCTATATATGTAGTGTGGTAATCTGTCATCTTCCTCTATAATTCCTACACATATCAGTTGTGTTTCCCATCCCCTACCATTCCCCCTCATCCATCTATAGTCCCAAACAGCACAGCCTCACCCTAACTTTCACCATCACCCTAACCATCACCCTCACACCCTCCCTCACCCTCACCCTCACCCTCTCACTCACCACCTCCCACTCCCTTTCTCTCACCCTAACCCTCACCCTCACCCTAACCGTCACCCTCACACCCTCCCTCACCCTCACCCTCTCACTCACCACCTCCCACTCCCTTTCTCTCACCCTAACCGTCACCCTCACACCCTCCATTTCCCTCACCCTAACCCTAAGTGTCATTCACCCCCTCCCTCTCCCTGATCCCCTTCCTCTCCCTGACCCCCTCACCCTAACCTTAACCTTTACTCTCACACACCTCCCTCACCCTCACCCCTCCCACTCCCTCTCCCTCTCCCTCACCCCCCCCTCCCACTCCCTTTCCCTCACGCCCTCACCCTAACCATTCTCCCTCACCCCTCCCTCTTCCTCACCCTAACCCCCTCACCTTCCTCACCCTAACCACATCCCAAACCCTCACCCTGACCATCTCCCACACCCCAACCCCCTCCCTCACCCCTTCCCTCTCCCTCACTCCCGACCTCTCCCCTCACCCCAACCCCCTCCCCTCAACCCCGACCCCCTCCCTCACCCTGACCCACTCCCTCACCCCGACCCCCTCCCTCACCCCCGACCCCCCCTCCCTCACCCCGACCCCCTCCCTCACCCCGACCCCCTCCCTCACCCCGACCCCCTCCCTCACCCCGACCCCCTCCCTCACCCCGACCCACTCCCTCACCCTGTCCCCATCCCATCAGCTCACCCTGGTGCGTAGTGTCCTCTGTGTTCAGGCTTGACGTGGTTCTGCTGCTGCTGGTGGTTCTGCTGGTGGTTCTGTTGCCCCTGGCAGGGGTAGTTGTTGTGTCTCAGCAGACCCAGGGACGGGGGGTAGGGTGTTTGGCAGGGCTGGGGCTGGGGGTGGGAGTGGGGGTTTCCCTGAAGAAGGAGAATAGTGGGGCTCACGCCACACTGCAAACCCCCAGAAGAGGAAACTCCGGCCTGGGTTGATGAGTAGGAGTTAGGGCCTGGGGCACCGCTGTGGACCTCAGAGAAACAGCTGGGGGAACACAGAGGAGAACATATTTTACATTTTGATCATCTAGCAGACGCTCTTATCCAGAGTGACTTACAGTTAGTGCATTCATCTTAAAGTAGCCAGGTCAGACAACCACGTGATTGTGTATTAATATTAGTTCAGTTGGAAATGGCAACGTCCCTAGAATAGTATGTTATGAATTGGTGTGTTGAGGTGGGTCGTGTTTATCAGGGCACTCAGTTGAAAACATATTAAAGCGTTTTGCAACGGAAAACAAAAAAAAATCATGTTTCTTGTTGGACAAATCCAGGTCGTCAGTCCCTATCGGTACCTAATGAACACAACCCTGGTTAGACGTCATTGTTGTTTGGTCGCATTGATAAGCTGAGTCACAGACCTGTTTGCGCTGTAGCCAACTCCTACGGTTGTTTGGCATGACAACGACAGACAGCACAAACAGGTCTGGATCATTAGGTACCAAAACGGATGAAAACTGACTGAAACAGGGAATACCTGGACCTGTCCAATAAGAAACACCCAACTGCGTTTTTATACCGTTTTCCAGGAGCCACTCACATGTCAGTGCTGTCGTCCTCCTTAGTGATGTAGTCCTCCTTAGTGATGTAGTCCTCCTTAGTGATGTAGTCCTCCAGAATACTGGTGTCAATGTTCGCTGGCTCCAAGGAGCTGGTAATATCATGACCTGCAGAGAGAGAGAGAGAGAGAGGGGGGAGGGGTAGAAAAGAAAGAGAGCTGTGGAAACATTGTTGTGCAGACCAAACTCATCAAAAATAATTTATTGTATCACAATTCCCAACCGTTGTGGCTAATGTGTTGTAAATCAGTTCTACCATCTGAGTGTAAACTAGGCCATAGAGAGTAAAGCTGGATTCTGTTTCACTGTTTGGGAACGTTAAAGACCTACACTACGGCCTTCTGGATCTGAATCCAGACAGGATAAGTTGGTGTTGAGTCCAGACAGGATGGATTGGTGTTGAGTCCAGACAGGATGGGTTGGTGTTGAGTCCAGACGGGATGGGTTGGTGTTGAGTCCAGATGGTGTGTTGGTGTTGAGTCCAGATGGTGTGTTGGTGTTGAGTCCAGACAGGATGGATTGGTGTTGAGTCCAGACAGGATGGGTTGGTGTTGAGTCCAGACGGGATGGGTTGGTGTTGAGTCCAGACGGGATGGATTGGTGTTGAGTCCAGACAGGATGGGTTGGTGTTGAGTCCAGACAGGATGGATTGGTGTTGAGTCCAGACAGGATGGGTTGGTGTTGAGTCCAGACAGGATGGGTTGGTGTTGAGTCCAGACAGGATGGGTTGGTGTTGAGTCCAGACAGGATGGATTGGTGTTGAGTCCAGACAGGATGGGTTGGTGTTGAGTCCAGACAGGATGGGTTGGTGTTGAGTCCAGACAGGATGGATTGGTGTTGAGTCCAGACAGGATGGGTTGGTGTTGAGTCCAGACGGGATGGGTTGGTGTTGAGTCCAGATGGTGTGTTGGTGTTGAGTCCAGATGGTGTGTTGGTGTTGAGTCCAGACAGGATGGATTGGTGTTGAGTCCAGACAGGATGGATTGGTGTTGAGTCCAGACAGGATGGATTGGTGTTGAGTCCAGACAGGATGGATTGGTGTTGAGTCCAGACAGGATGGATTGGTGTTGAGTCCAGACAGGATGGGTTGGTGTTGAGTCCAGACAGGATGGGTTGGTGTTGAGTCCAGATGGTGTGTTGGTTTTGAGTCCAGACAGGATGGGTTGGTGTTGAGTCCAGGCGGTGCGTTGGTGTTGAGTCCAGACAGGATGGGTTGGTGTTGAGTCCAGACAGGATGGGTTGGTGTTGAGTCCAGACAGGATGGGTTGGTGTTGAGTCCAGATGGTGCGTTGGTGTTGAGTCCAGATGGTGTGTTGGTGTTGAGTCCAGACAGGATGGATTGGTGTTGAGTCCAGACAGGATGGGTTGGTGTTGAGTCCAGACAGGATGGGTTGGTGTTGAGTCCAGACAGGATGGGTTGGTGTTGACAGGTCATCTGACGGCTGGGTTCAGATGAGTCAGTTTTTTAGTTTATCTGGTTCAGATGAGTCAGTTTTTTAGTTTATCTGGTTCAGATGAGTCAGTTCTTTAGTTTATCTGGTTCCGATGAGTCAGTTCTTTTGTTTATCTGGTTCAGATGAGTCAGTTTTTTAGTTTATCTGGTTCAGATGAGTCAGTTTTTTAGTTTATCTGGTTCAGATGAGTCAGTTCGTTAGTTTATCTGGCTACATTGTTCTTCATGTTCCCTTTCTTTTCTGTAAAACAAAACGGTCCCGATAAACAGTTTT